TCGGAACTGTCTGTCGGATCAAGAATCCATGGTTGTTTGGTGTTTTCCACCCAAATTCTTTCGGATTCAGGATCGACATGACCGCCATTTTTTTCCCAAATATCATGCTGGTAAAATGAATATAATTTGGTATTTCATTGAAATGTATTGAAAAAAAAGAAAGATAAACATTTACCAATCGTTTCAATGGAAAATCTGGAAATGTTTGTTTAGGATCATAAATTCGACGCATATCTTCATAGTATCTTAGTGGCGAAAGCAAATGGGAATGCCATATATAGCAAACGTCTAAATTTTTTTACAAAAAGAGGTTATTAGGGTTTAATTTTTCTTCTTCCCGTTCACCTACCTATGGGCGGAATCGGCATTGTCCTCTCGTCAAAATTTTTACTGCCGAGTAAATATAACCACAACACATAACGCTCCTGCGCACGTAACAAATATCTTGTATCAATCTGTTTGTTCGGTTGTTCCAATGCCTTGAATTTCGCCAAGAGCGCTAAATGTGCACGCAACATAGCTGGATTCACGACACCATCAACATTGACGGCTCCAGTTGGAATGGTGTCGAACGCAGTTTTATCATATGTAGGTGGGTTTTCGTTCCTTTCAGCCATTAAGAAATTGATAGCTTCCAAGCTGGTAAAACGGGTTTTAAAACATATTTAACCGGTTACTTTTGCTCAGTCATATCTAGTTCGAGACTGAGAATTTAACATGAATTTATTATTCAAGGTTAATATTGCCCTCTTTGTTTGCATAAATTTGAGATCATAAAGCGTTCATTAAAGTTGTTTGTGCGTAATCTAAATAGCTCCATTGTAATATTAAAACAAGTTAAATTACGTTTTTTATTTGTTTTAATATGTATGCTTTTTACTTATTATCCGTAATGCATAATTTTGCATTAAACGCATAAATTATGCATCCTTATGTTAGTGCGCATAATCCGCAGTAAATTGGCTGCTGATATCATACGCTGGACATGTCGCACGCTCAATCAATTGATTTTCCTTTTAGATTACTTTTTTTTTTTTTTTACATTTACGTGAAATTTCGCTTTAAAATAAGTTTT